GCCTCCTCTTCCAAGTTGCCCTTCCTGTCGACTCACTCAACAGGGCCTGGATTAGTTCCTGCCTCCTCAGAGGTCTGAACTATAGTTTTCTGATTCCTGCTCCCACCTGTTGCTTCCAAATCCCAATTGCTTTTTCTTTTGTATTCCCAGCTGTCACTTCCCACCAGCTATGTCCTTGCTTCCATTGCCACCCACAACTGCTGCTGCATGTCCAGTTTGTATTGTGCTTCCCCATGCAAACAGCAGCAGAGAGGAGCTGCCATCCCTTAGTCCTCTGCTCTCACATACAGCAATGAGCTCTCTTAACTGCTGGACACAAAAGGTAAGCAAAGCATCACAGCTTTATAAATGCAAGATTATCAAATCCTTCTCAAGAGGGATGTCTCAGGGCCTTCCTGTAGCTCATCACAGTGAGATAACTTCTCTCTTACTTTGTCTGCATCTCCCAAGATAATTAATATGGGCATCTTCACATTCAGACAAGGTAAGCTCATGTGTGTGGCTTGCTTTTCTTCCTTCTGTTTCCACTGAGTCTCTACCATGCAGTTGTTTCTGATTTTTCCCCCATTTTCTCACCTGTAATTTAATCTGTTGACTTTCTCTAGACCAACCTTTGAAGGTCTGTTATTTGACAATACATACCATGTTTGAAAACGAGTTCCGAGCAGGAACATGATGATCCAAGCAGCATTTGCCTGCTCCCTCCTAGAATTCCTTGTTTAGTCTATGAATTCCTAGGTATTCCTGAAGCACATGATTAAGGTGATCCACTGATGTATCTAAAGTCAAGTAATCATGAATATTAACTGCTGTACTGTTAAAAACTATTTCCATGATCTGTTTATCCTACCCTAAAACTAGCAGTTATCAAGAAGAGTATATATTATATGTATTAATATTAAACACTTTAAAAATACATTTAATTTTGAGACATAAAATACAAACCTATGTTTTCATGTGAAAAGAGAAAGCAAAGAGTTAAATTCGGGGGGGAGGAAGTTGTGTTCTTTCACATAGTTACTTTCCGTTTTTGCTTGCTTTCTTCAGTTTAGTGCTGGTGATGTGTTGTTCCCAGCTTTCTAATAAACCTTTTGTCCTAACTCTTCCTCAGGTCTCTTCCTGTTAGAAAAGTTATGTTAACAGCAATACTTCTCCAGTTATACATCCTTTCTCTTCAACTGACCAAGCACTATTGCTTTAACAGCCTGTACTTTCTGCTTTTCAAACCAGAGCGTTGCTTGCACAGTTCAACTGCAGTCTGACTTCTGGGTACATTTCATAAAAGGTCTCAAAACAACAGGTGCTTACATGCTTCTGGGGCTTGGCTCAAAGAATTTGACAACAATTCACAGAATGATGCCCTCTCTGTGCTCTCCTCCTTGCTTTACAGAAAATAGAAAAACTAAAATTAAGCCACTGAGTTAGAGGAGTTGTTCAGCCCCAGGAAGGATCAGAGGAGAGCACCCAGCGGCTTGTGCAGCCGAATTGATTTACTGTTTGTTCTTGCTGCATTGTTAACGTGTATGCTCAGGAGGAACATGACTCAAATATTTGTGAAGCAGCAAGTAGCAGCACAACTCTCAACTCAGTCTGAAACTGTTCCTCTGTGTATGTACCCCAAACCCCATGTACTTTCATTACAAAGGAAGGAAAATAGTATCTAGGTGGTATAAAGCCTTGTTACATGAGTTACCTGCTGTTACACAAGAATTCCAGAAGTTACATGCAATGCTTAGACCTAATATATAACTGTTTAATATCCGTGATGCTGTAACAAAAATAATGAATACTTAGAGGTTTAATTAATAAATATTCAGCTACCACCCTTCACTTCTAGTATTTTTAATTATCTCTAACTAACCTCTAAGGCGGTTTTAGTCCCTCCTGTTGAGGAGTTAAAATGTACAGTTATAATCCTGTGATATGGGGGGGGTGAACGTATTTAGAAAAGGTACTGTCCTTCTCTCATCTTCTTCCAAGATGTTTCTCAACTCTTATTACATCCACTATAATAGAACAGTAACATTTTTTCCTGAACTAAGTAGGTATGCTGCTTCTATCACAAATAGTTCTTTTCCCTCCGTATTACAGAGTTAGTATTCCTGCTTTTGTCTGAACTTCAGATTGCACGGTTCAAGCTACAAAACTATACAGTATGTGGCATCTTCCAAACTCAGTGCAGGAGTACTCTGGTGTTGACAAATAAGGGAGTTAGATCTTTGCAGCCTGCCGGATGGCAATGACTTTGTCAGACAAACAAAGAAAATTTGTGTTAGTTTTCCTTTATGTATATTTGGGATGTATGTGGGATTTGGCAGCAGCTGATAATGATTAACGGCCTTAGAATTTACATAGAATGTAGCAGTAACTGCACGTTTCTCTCAAGAACTGAATGAACAGAGCTTCTTTGTAAAGATAATCTCATTTTTGCTCCTTGATGTAAAAGTTCAGATGTCCCAATATTTCTTTCCTTAGTTAGGTATGTTACTACAAGACAGAGACATAATTGGTAATCATGCTTAGTTTCTGGAATGTCAAGTCAGCTGTAAATTTTAAACACGAACGCTCGATTTGGCAAGTGAAATCAGAAAATGTGCTAAATCCTCTCAAATACAATGCAATGATGTGTGAAAAAGAAAGAAGAGTATATTTCCTTCTAAGTATTTCTGCAAGGCAAAATGGGCATACATAGGATTATGCAAGTCAATGTAATTAATAGCAACTTACATTTTTATAGCCTTCCATCCCAAAGAATCTCACAGCCTTCACAGAAATTATTGTAGAGAAATATAAAACAAGGATCATTTTACCACTGCTGAAATGCAACCAACTGCTTAACAATTGTACATCTATGCTGGGAGCCTGGTCTTCCACAAAGAACTTGCAGACTGGGGCTCTGTATTAGGAACAAAGATTCCCCCTTGGAGTGCAAGATAAAAATTTTTTAGAGTATATGAAAGCTTTTAAATTACTGAGTACACCAGTGAGTTGAAGGCTGCACATCTCAAGCACACATAAGCTTGTACTTGATAGTAAAGTCTGAGTGGCATATCAGTGCTTACTCTAAGCAGCAGGCAGAGACACACCGGCTGGTTTGCTGCATGTAATCAGTTTGACAGCCCCCAGGAACTGCCGAGTCTCCATGACCCTAGAAAGACAGTTTGGCACACATATTAAACAGTCAAATGCCTCCCCTCCAACTGTTTATCCATCTCCACTAGTCACAGACTTTCCCAGTCGAGCACTCGCATTAGAACTGAATGGTTAGATAATGACGGAAGAATCTTCCACGTGTCCTCACAGTTGTTGCAGTTTAAACCCTCGGATGAAAATATTTCTGGGCTGATAACTGCCTTTGAAGCAGGATGGTGGTTCAGTAACACAGACGACAAGGAGTGACTAATAGTATGTAGTTGAATAAATCCAGTGATTCTATTTGGGTAATTTTTTTTCTTTTTGGTAAAGTTCCCATTAGACATAGTTGCTCAACCTGATTTTTATTTTTTCCTATACCAGTATTTTTAACTTACCAGAGCACTTGCTTGTAATCTTTGAAGAGCAGGATGGTCATGTAACACTAGTGCTTGTTCCCACATGCTAGAGACAAAGAGGCAGTCAAAATATTCTTTAAAATCTTAAATTCGATTCAAAGTCAATGAAACCTAAGGCACTTCTGAACACGAGACATAAGCTTTTCAGCTATGTGGGTGCTTAAGAATGTTTTGCCCTATTTTTCACATAAGGTGTCCAGTTGTGAATTTTGTAGGGAACTGAACTGATTTGTGCCTTCCAGAATATTAGGGGAAGTTGTTTATTGGAAAATTCTCTTGAAGTTACATTCTGCATTATGAAATTAAGAGTCCTTGTCCAAAGAAACATTTGACTGGAGAAGTTTCCTGCCCTTCTTGACTTTCATTCAGATTTTCTATCACAGACATTGATGTCGTCCTGTTCCTTGGCTTAGGTAGAGCCCTGTGGGTGTTAACTATCTGACTGTGCCAGTGGACACGTATATAGATGCTGTTATAAGTCCAGAACTACTGAACTGCAGTTTCTAAAAGCAAAAATGTTTAAATATCAACTTGTCCACATGTGCTACTACCACTTCCAGATATGAATATCCATCTCCTCTTGCCTGAGGAGTTCACAGTCCAAGATAGGATCTAAAATGTACAAAATTCTTATTTGAAAACATGTATTGGCATATGCAAACGTGTCTCTTCACTATCTGCAACACCTGCAGGGTGTTACAAGGGCAAGTATTTAGATTTCATTGGTGCATTCACACCAGGGGGTGTTCACAAGATATCCACAAGGACACAAAATTACTAGGTTGCAGGACAGTATGAGAGCCAATCCATGCTGCACTGAGGCAATGGAAGACTTCAACCAAGCCTAATACAGCTACAGTTTCACAGAAAATGTCTCAAGAACAAGATATTTATTTGAAATAAAGGATATATGTTGTGGTTGGCTTTGTGTTTATGTTTGAGGCTTTACTTTAATACATGCACTCCTGCATAATAAAACCTCTAAACAGAAGTTGTTGGAAAAACTGACCCCTTACAAGAAGTATTCCTAGGTAGAATGATCAATCACAAATAAAAACACTTTCAAACTGGAATACTGCAGTATTTATACTGGGAGTTATTCTGGAATAGCTGTGCCAAACAAATTTTTATGTAGGAGGCCCTGAAATAATTCACAGGGGAAGTAGCTGTTAGTCTTTGCTTTCTTTCAGTGGTGCTATGTCTGAAGAAAGGCTGTAATTTCCTCACAGTTAGGGAAGAAGCTCTAGTGCTAGATAGAGTCTTTCTAATGAGACACAAAAGATATGGATAAATGGAAGTGACAGTATTATAAATTTAAATGAATGCTGAATGGAAGTTTTAGGGTAACTAAGCATTAGGGGTAGAGCACTGCTGAGGACTAGGAAGAACTGTACTTTGTGCTTCTGTGGGTTCTCCTGCAAGGAGACTTTCAGATGATCCTCTCCCTCTTCTCCACTCATGGGAAAATTAAGGGAGAGCCAACATTTATACAAAGACAATTTATAAGTGTTTTGCTTTCCAGGATTTTTAACTCTGGCCAATTCCTGAAGCTCCTACTTATCATCTCCTCAGTCCTATAGCAGGAAAAATCTTGCTGAATCCTAAACAAAGTTGAGTAACACTTCAAGATTTGGTCCCTCAGGAATAGCAGTAGAGACTAAAATTTTACACTGTGTGTATTCCATCCTTTGTCTTGTTACCAACTGGCATCTGTTTTTGTTGTTAAAAACTTCCCTTGTTACATAGTGCACTATCGATATTTGAACTCTCAGGGGGAGTAACCTCTGTTTCTAGCCAGAAAATAACAGATTAAAGTAAACACACGCAACATTGCTCAGTGAAGGGCGAGTATGTTATTTACAATTCCGTAGTTTCAAGTTGGCATTATTCAAACATTTGCAGTATATCTTGAGTCTTGTGTAGGAGTATAGTGACAGAAAAGGTGAAACAAAAGAGAGGAAAATACTTAGGGATCTGTCATATACAGTTTTTGCTATAATAATACATTGTACACGTTATTACTTTTATCTGAGAATGTCAAAGCTCATTAAAAAAAATCTAGTTAAATATAAAAAGCTCTGTGAGGAAAGTAATTCTTTTATTGGTAGGTTAACTGAATGCCAGAGTTATTCAGAGTTATTCCTCATTAGAGCCAGAGACAGAACTCAGGAATAGAACTAGTCTCCAACTTCGGCTACATAAAATGCTGCACGAGTTGCCAACAATGAAGATCTGCAAGTGGAATTTGGTTAATTGTGTCAGTCTGTAGGAACGCTTATTATTTTTTGGTATTACAATAGCTCTGGGAGTCCGGAGAGTTCTGTGACTGTGATCCCTTTGCGCAAGGTGCTATCTGAACACAAAGCAAAGAGGTGGTTCTGGCTTGGAGGAATGTAAAGTCTTTCAGGACATAGTTTGACAAACTGTTTTTTGGTAGAAGTTGCTACTTATGCATTCCCCACCACACATTCCTCCCCTCTTCCCCTTCTCACTGTCCCTGAATTCTGCCAGTGCAATGTATTTTTTTTTGTGTAGCCCCATGTTAAATTGAATCAGGAAACTGACTTTAATTAGAAATAGTCCCCCTGTAACCCATTTATTTTTAACTCCAACTAGTACCTAATCTGGTTCCCTGATGCAGATGCATGAACAAGGTTACCCTCTAGAAAGAGGGTCCCACGAAGGCAGGAATGAACAGGAAAGGGTAAGGAACACGTTGCATAAGTCTTGCTTACTTAGAAGAGGTGTGTGTTTGTCAAATTGTGCCCTTAACTTAGCTTAACCATGACAAGGTTGCAATTGTAATTGGTGCGAAAAAAACCAGCAACGTTATTTTGGTAAGTTTTGTTTAAATTAACACAAGCTAGTGGAATCTGTCAATAAACAAAAAGAGCTGCTCTGCCACCTCAGGTGATACTGTAAAAGTTTTCAAAGTAGAATTTGAGATCATTGGCAAAAAGTCATCCTTCCCCTTTCGGATTCAAAAATAACGTCTGTCAGAAACACATAAAAAGGAAATAACCTTTAAACTCCATGTTTGTTTTTGCAGTGGTGTGACTGGAAAATAATTTCATCTGCCTTTGCAAAGTAGAGACCATTTCCCTCCCACCACAGTCGTACATCTATTATCTGACTCACCACTTCTGGGACTCCTTCTGGCAGCACTGGTTTTATTGCACTGAAAGTTCAAGCATGTGAAAATATTCCCTATTTTCAGGTTACTTTGTTCACTGTTTCGTTCAGGTCAGTATTCCTTCCTTTAGAGGTTTGGAACTCAACATTCAGTAAGTGCTGGATATTGCTGTTCTTAAGCCTTGTGAGAAGGACCAGCACAGTGGAAAGGAAGGGGGGGAGGGAAGGGAGAAATGAAAGGGGAGGAGAGTCCATATCTGAAGAGAGACTCCAGACTAGAGAAATTTTACTGACATCCATTCAGTTTCCAGCAGGGTCTCCTTCAAGGGCTTTTACTGAGATCCAAAGGCCGTTGCAATTCACAGAGGCATTTACATGCAACATTGCCCTCTGGGAGTTAAGGTATAACTGTACTCCTGGATAATAATAACAAAGAATACTACCAGACTCCTATTGAAATGTCAACCAGGCACTACTGTTGTAGAAAGTAACAAAGAGATGCTAATATAATTAATTATGAAGCCTCAGTACCCTCATTAACACATCTTTAGTGCCTAGATCTTTGAAAATCAGCTGTATAAAGTGACTGTCAGAGTTAATTCCTTATAAATTGCCTCCTGTCACATCCCAGCACTGCTGCAAGTTCTCTCGGGCCTTGTTGATGCTAAGAAATCTCGGGTTTCTTTTTAGTACTGATGCAGTTATACTGGTGTTATTAAAGGTATAAGCTGTTGCATAAGCAAGAGTTTGTCAGGCTAGAATAGAGCAAAATAAAAATGCCTTTAGTCAACCCAGCTTCCACAGTTGGTAGCATAAATAGGAAAAGTTTCAATTAAATGGAAAACTAAGGACAAAAGAAAAACAGGAATGAAAGGTGTCACATAATTTGTCATTAAAATGTTTCTGGACCTTTTTTTAAATTTGAGGATCGCAGCCAGTTTATAGCTCTCCCTCCTCCTACTGCCTTTACGACAGCATTTCAGCTCCAGGCCTCATTCCAGTGCATCCTCCCTCCCCACCACTCCTGCTTACAAATATATATTTCAATAGACTTAGGCTACATGGAGTTCCAAAACCAGCATGTAATTGGTGCAATTGTCTTTTACACTTCTCCACAGAGAGCCACATTCATGCCTTCTTAAGCCCTGTTTTGTCATGTTTTCACTCTTTTTTTTTTTTTTAAAGTTAGACTGGCATCAGTACTTGTGTTGGGAACCCTACATATACACTAAAGAAAAAAGTTACCCAGACTGGCTATATTGGTGGTTCATTCTGTTATTTCTGAGTACCAGACTACTCTCCTGTCATTCTCCTAAAAGATAAAGGTGCCATCTTACAGAAGCAATAAAGTGATCATTACAAATCACTTGGCATTTTCTGCAGCAGTCGAAACACTCACACTGACATATCCAATTTGTCTATACAAGATTTCTGCTCCCCTTAATCTTCCATGTGCTTTTGAGAAGATGGTAATCTTTCTGCAGTGCATAATTCTGTAAATCTGTGTGTGTGCACTTGTATATGCTCCAGGATCTTTTGGTATCCTTGCTATACTTGGGATAACAGACCTATCAAAATGGGTACTTTGATTTGCTGTTTAAGAAATGGATTTCACACTAACGGTAAGATGATTTTGCTGGTCTAGCTAAACTGGCAATTTGCAAACTCTCTAAATGGAGGTGAAACTTTTATTAATAAAAGGAGTCCTTGCAAATCTGGCTTTCCTACTGCATTAATTAACATCATGGTAGGAACATTATTTCATTCTCCACTCTTAAATTACATATCTGTATCCCAGTAAAGCTATGATCTATTTATTGATCATTCAGTGTTCACAGAAATAACGTATAAGAAATTAAATAAATAAATATATAGATTTCTGAAGAAC